ATCATATTCCACAATTCTTCTTTTAGGGGGAATGAGTGTGTTGTAGAAAAGAATTTAAATACAATTTTCCCTCCAACGAAATATGTCACAGGGTAATTTCTGGATTTCCATTTACTGAGAGACTGACAAGGAGGAGGCTCAGCACGTTTATTATGTAGGTTTAAACATCAAAAGGATTTATTGTGAGAATGCTTCTTCAAGATAAACAAAACCAAAGTTGTGGGTAAAACAGTCCCATTAGGGCTTATCAACTTGCAGCCATAACTCTTTACCTCTGGGCAGCTGGTTTTTGAATCCAAGGCTATTGAACTTACAAATTCATAGCTAGCACAGAATCTCCTATGAGCAGGGCATCACCATCAACTGGGCAGTTTTTGATGGACAGCTTCACACTGAGAAAAAGGGGAGGTGTTGCCTCTGTCTTTGGGCAATTTAAAGTAATGATTCATTCACCATTCCCAGCACAGAATCAATGTACACAGGATCAAAGCACTGGAGGCATGGTTTTCAGGCATATATTTTATATCTGGCAAATAGAGTGTCTATCTATTTTTCACCATGCATCAATACATTCATGTATTTACATGATTATTATATTATGTACTACTTCCAAAGATGATTAATAATAATGATAAAGCTAGCAGTAAGAAAGGTAACATATATAGAATCCCTGGATGAAAAACTTAAAGCAAGTGAGTGAAAATTTGATGTGCAAACTAGCCCAAGCCCCCTTCAGTAAATGAGGTTTTACAGGAGCACAGACCCACCCTCTATTTTTCATGTTGCTTCTCCCCATTTTTAAGCTACAATGGAATTGAGTATTATAGTTGCAAAGGGATGATATGGTCATAAACCAAAAATATGTTATCTCAGGGGTCCTACTTGGAACATGATAGTGAATCAACCCGATATTTTGAAAACCAGTAAATAAGCAAAAAATTCTGTCTTTCCTATGTAACTGGACATTAAGTTAACCAAATATTTGAGAAAGAAAAAATTCTCTTTAAAGCAGTATTTTGACTAGTGTATACTGAATAACTGAAATGAAGTAGTCAATTGTCTAGGAATGACTATAAGTCACAAAAAGATGACCGAAGAGACTTAATGTCTAAGAAGCAAAAACCATATGATTTATTTATTAAAAAAAGCAAAAAGTACCTAGATCAGTCCAGCCTCCAAGTCTAAATACAGATTTACTGAAATAAAGAAGACAGAGAAAAATATGAAACAATTTCTTCACAATGTAGTCATCAAAATCCAGGTTCCAGAAATCTATTTTCTTAAACAAATAAATATAAGGGATAATAAAAGAAGATCTAAAAGCTTCCACCAGAAGACTGCTAGAATGAATAAATAAATTCAGCAAAGTAGCAGGTTAAAAAAATCAACATACAAAAATCAGTAGTTTTCCTGTACAATAATAGTGAATCTGCCAAGAAAAAAAAATTCAGGAAAATAGTCATATTCAAAATAGCCTTAAAAATAAAGAAGGTACCTAGGAATAAGTAGAACCAAGAAGACGAATACCTCTGCAATGAAAACTATAGAACACTGAAAAAGAAACTGAAGAAGACATAAGAAGATGGAAAAACCTCCCATGTTTATGGTCAGGAAGAAATAATATTGCTACAATATCCTTATTACCAAAGGCAATATATAGATTCAATGTAATTTACCATCAAAATGCCAATGATAATCTTCACAGACCTAGAAAAAATAGTTCTAAAATTCATTTAGAAATATAAAAGATCCAGAAAAGCCACAGAAATGTTAAGCCAAAAGAGCAATTCTGGAGGCATCACAATACCTGACTTCAAATTATCCTACAGATCCGCTCCTTAACAAAGGCAACAAAAACATACTTTGGATAAAAGACAGTCTGTTCTCCAAATAGTGCTTGGAAAACTGGTTACCTATATGTAGAAGATAAGACTAGATACTTGCCTACAAAAACATCAACTCAGAATGGATCAAACACCTGGGAATTAGACCAGAAATTCTGCAACCAGAACAATACATGCATACCTATGTTTATAGCAGCACAATTTACAATAGTCAAATTATAAAATAAGTCTAGGTATTCATCAAGGGATGAATGAAAAAAGAAATTGCTGATATGTACAAACAATGGAGATTGTTTTTTCAGCCATAAAGCAGAATGAAATTATGTCATTTGTAAGAAAATATATGTAACTTGAGAAAATTATGTTTAGCAAAATCAATCGACCTAAAACCTCCAAAATAACCCAACCTCAGAAACTTCAGGGTTGATTATTTTCCTTCATGTGGAAGACAGAAAAAAGCAAAAAAGAGGTGGTGGTGAAAAATCTCAAAATCAAAAATGGAGGTTAGTAGAGAAATAAGGGGAAAAGAGAAGGCCAGGGAGGGAAAGCAAGGAAATACTAGAGAATGATACTGGTCAAATTAGATTATTATATCATGTGTATGTATGATATGTAATAACAAGTCCCACCATTATGTATAATTATAACATACAAATAAAAATATTTTAAAACTGTATCCTGAAGAAAAATCAAGGAAAATAAAAAATCAGTAGTAGTGATGAAGCCTACAGATTAAATGAGACATAAGAGATCTACTGATAGGTCATAATGAGTAGACCATTTTTGAATTTTGTTGAAAATAAACTATTAATATGAATACTGACTACATACATGTTGGCATTGGAAATTTTTTGCTAATTTTGATGAAGTTATCATAAAATTATTAAAATTAATTTTTAACAGTTCTCATCTTTGAAAGGCATATATCAAAATATTTAAAGTGTAATGTTGTATCTCTGAGCAGTTTCAGAATAATGCAGTAGGGAGAAGTTTGGAATGGATGTAGAACTATTTCTCAGCACATGTTAACCTTGAGATGGGTAATTGACACATGAAGATTCATTGTAATTGTCTCTGTAATATGTATATATATGCTTGAAATGTTTCATACTTTGATCCCCTGCACTAAAAACACACATTTCATACTGAAAGGTTAAGATGTTTTAAATATTCGTAGCCTTGAATTTATTAAAGGAGCTTTAAATTTTTTCTATTTAAATTATTAATTTTTATTTAAATATTAAATTCAGTTAGAGGAAAGTTGTAAAATTTACTTTGAAAATTATGTTGTTAATACTGTTATAATAAAGAATTTACACTATAATACTTTTTTAATGAATAAAACTTCTTACTTTTATTGCCTGTGTTCATATGATATATGGTAGAGCTAAAGACCACAGGGTAGCTAATTCTGAAGCAAAGAAGAACCTTCAGACAACTAATTAATTAACCTCAATTTACATAATGGTCTTAGTATTTGCATAGCTAATGGGCTAGGGATTGATTGCAGGCCATTAACAGTTATTAGTAAATGAAACTATGTTTGAAAAACATGAGTTCGTATTTCAAGTTTTAGGGGCAAAAGTCAGTTATGAGATGTTAACAAAATTCAGAGCATCAGGCATTAAACAAACTAACATTTAGCTTTATAGACTTCATGCATTTATGAAAGGATAATTCATGAATGTGCTAATTGATCACACCTCTATGCATACAAAGGCACATACAAATATACATGTGTACTTTAGGTAAACTTTCATTAGCCTTACAATTATATTTAAATTACAGTAATGGGAGCTAGTTTTGTTATATTTAACTATAAGAACTTCCTATATCTCTATTCCTAAAAATCACAGGTTTTTCTCAAGAAATGCTACATTCTGCAACCTAAATATTCAGCAAAATTTTTTTCTAAATCTTTTCAACTATTTCAAAGAAACATTACAAAATTTTCAACTAATCTTTTCCATTTATTTGTATGTGCAATGTTATATAATTTAGAGCTACCCTAACATTTTGTCAACTTGTGTAAACAATTCAATTTACAAGCTGAAGCATCCTCTGTATTTATATAAAAAATACTGTAGTTTAATGATTTTAAAGCTTAAAAAATGTGGTCTGTTATTTTGAAGGAATTTAATTCTGCCAGTATGCATTCTGACTGAAAACAGTTTGAATCCTTTAATTTCAAAGACACATTGTATATATAATCTGATTTTTTTCAAATGATCAGACAGTACTTTCACAAGCAACTATACAGTTCCTTCCACTTGTTCAATAAATAAGGTTTATAATAAATAAAAAGAATTACCTTTGTCCAATTATTTGCAACATCTTTTAAATTTTGTGTCAGTGCCTTTCACAAATGGACTTTCACTTGGTTTAATGTGTGGGTCAACTATATTTCACTGAAATGTTGAGAAAAGATTTTAGCTTCAAAAAGCAGTCTTAAACTCCAACTCTTCATTTACTGTCATTTTTTTTTAAGTTCCACTGAAACTTTCTTGTGTTTGCAAGATGGGGTTATAATTTTTTCATTTTATAGAGATGGGTGTGGATTAAATATGATGTTATATGTAATTTGTGATTATTGTTAGTTACCGATTTAAAAATGTTTTTCCCTCTACTTTAAGGAAATATGTAAGTACAAGAAGCCACCTGGTGGGGCTGGGGTTGTGGCTCAGTCATGGAGCTCTTCCCTAGTATGTGTGAGGCACTGGGTTCGATTCTTAGCACCACATATAAGTAAATAAAAGAAAGGTTCATTGACAACTAAAAAATATTAAAAAAAAGAAGCCACATGGTTCAGGCAATGTCTAGTAAATACACATTCATTATAGTTTATGTTTTATATGCTTATCCAGGGTCTCTCCAATGAATTAAGAAAAAGGTTTACTATATACTGATAATAATGGTATTTTAACAATATCACATACATAGTTTGACAACAGTATTTTACTGCCTTGACATTTCAAGAGTATGAAACCTCTCACAGAATTGCCATATACCAGCTATTAAAATGAATGATAATCATTTCCAGGTATTAATGATATTCCTTTGCTCTCCACTGAGAAATTTATTTACATATATATTTAACTAGAATATCAGCAGAAACACTATAAAATTCTTGTCAAGCTCTTAAGTACTATAACTCACTTTTTGAAGGAACTCGGAGATTGGCGAGGACCACTTCCAGGGAATCGGCTTGGACTCGAAGCACATAACTTGTTCTTGTTTCATAATCCAGGGGGGCATTCACATAGATGACACCTGTGATGTTATTGATTCCAAACTTATCTAGAATTTAAAATACAGTTACTAGTCATTTCCTTCGCATTTGCAAGGGAATAATTCTCTTTAAAAGATAGTATGGTTTCAAGAACACTTAATTGTAGCAATTATAAAGTGTGAAGTATGAAAGTGATAAGGCACCAGCTTTGGAAACTATATTCCAGCCCTGGAAATAATAGACATCAGTATTTCCCCAAATGATACCTTGAAATTATAATTAATTATGTGTGTTGTTTTAAGATTCTTCTGGATATCAACGCTTCTGTGGTCTTTATGCTTAAAAAGTGGTGTATAATACGCTACTCACCACCACAGGTTCAGATGGTCTTCTACAATAGTAAAACATTTTAGATACGTCTTTTAAAAAACCCATTTAATTTTGCTTCACCAAATATTTTCTGGTTTTCCTAATAACTATACTTTCAATAATTTAATGGATCTTACTCTATGGATTAGTGGTCTTCTAAGAACTTCTTAAAGAACAAATGGTTTATTTAATTGTAGGTTATATTTTCAAATTACTTATGATTCTAATTATCTTAAATATTTTCATCTGATTTCTATATTTTATAAATTTGTATATATGCAAATATATAAATATATTTTTAAAGTGAAAAACACAGAACATTTTTCAGTTTATAATGCTGCACCTTTTGGATTCTCCATATCCTTTCCTCACTTTTCTCTGTATCATTTATGACCATCTAAAATATTACATATTTATACATTTGATAATTTTTATTATCCATCACCTCTCATTGGACTGTTAAATCCTATGAGTGTAGGGATCTATTTTGTTTACTGTTCTATCCCTAGAGGCTGAAAGAAAAATTAGTCCATAATAGATGTATAATAAATATTTGTTGAATGAAATAACAAATGAATTAAATGTAAAACAGTAACTGCGAGGGATAGATGATAATAAATAGAATCATATTGCTATCTTCAAGGAAAAAAACCAGATGGAAGTAGAGAGGAAAAGTGTTGTAACCAATTGAAGGACTACAGCTTTAGTTAGATGCTGGAAGTCCAATAAATAAATTAAAAAATAAATAAATAGGAAGCTCATTTTTTATCTAGGCGGGAAGCATAATGGCATCATATTAGCAAAAATAAGAAAAGAAATGCAATGAGGAAAGTAAGATGTTGAGCACTGGCTGTAGGGGCAACAGTGTCTAGTAATAGTGAGTCACTGGCAATTTCATTGGTTTATTGTGAAAACACAAGCTAAAAATCAACTCACCTTCTTCATTTCCTGAAACAATGGAGTACACAATACTTTGATTGATGGCTGCAGCAGAAATTACACCAACTGTGGTCCCCCTGGCTGCAAGTTCACTTACTGGAGGAGGTCTGTAAATTTAGAGATAGCAATTTATTTATTTTAAGATTATTTTTTAAAGTCACTTTAGGTTCACAGAAAAATTGAGGGGAACTTAAAAGATTCCCCCCATATACCTTCTTCTCCTACATGTACATAGCCTCCTCCATTAACGTCATCCCATGTTGCAATGCTACTTTTGAGACAGTTGATGAAACTGGATTACATGTCATATCCACCTCAAATCAATAGTTTACTTATGTTTTAATTTTGGTGTTACATATTCTGTGGTTTGGACAAGTGTTTAATGAACAATATTCACCATTATAGTATCATACAAAGAAATTTTACTGCCCTAAATATTCTTGGCACTTCACCTATTTGTTCAGTCCCTAACAAACACTTATCTTTTTTGTAGGTCCAGTTTTGCCTTCTCCAGAAACGTTATAGAGAAATGGACTCATAAAGTATGGAGGCTTTACAATTGAAATCATACTATACAGCCACTATTCAGATTCATAATATGCACCTAACCTTCTTCTTCATCTTTTTCATGGCTTGCTACCTCATTTATTTTACAGCTGAATAATATTATATGAACTAGAAGCACTGAAGTTTATTTCCATATATGAAGAAGCCTTTGTTGCTTCCATGTTTTGACAATTGAGAATAAAGGTGCTATAAATATCAGTTTACAGGGTTTGTATGGCCATAAATTTTCAACCTCTTTGGGTAAACACAGAGGAGTATGACTTCTGGATCATATGGTAAGATTTGGTTTAGTTTTAAAGAAACTGACCAAGTAGATATACAGATTTTTGTTCTTTTCATTAATGAGAGTTCCTGTTGCTCCTTATTCTTACCAACATTTGTTGTTGTCAGTGTTCACCATTATGGCCATTCTAAGAGATGTGTAGAAGTATCTATTTATTTGGAATGACAAGAGTTTTGATTTTAATAATAGAGTGTGTGTAATATTATACATGTGCAAGTTTATTTGAGTAATACCATTATCTGGTGCTTCAGAGAAAATACCATATTAAAACTTCAAATCTAAAAATGATGTTCAAAATTATGCAAATGATCCTGGTTAGAATGCCTTATAATATATATTATTTTAATTAAAATAAAGCATAATATTATTCTATTATCTGCCATATTACATACAAAATTATTTTCAATTTCCAAAGTAACTTCTGGACTGAAACCAATAGTTACATGCATTTGCTAACTCAAATTTTTGAAATAAAATGTTGCTCTTGTGTTCATATTTAAGCATATGGGCTTCATATAATTTTTTTTCTTATCCTAATCCTGATCTACTATAAATTTTTAACTGTATCAAAGTATTTGAACGGATAGCATAACAAAATTCACATTTCATTTTAATTCACTTATTTTGCTTAACTGTAGACATATTATTTCTCTAGTAATTTGGTATCTATATGACTTCAAAAATATTCATTAATACCTTACTTCATTTTCAAAATATGATTTTATAAATTGGTTATCATAAGTAGGCTATCATAACTATCTTCATAAATTTATACCAAGCAATCATTCTCTATACACAATAATTTAATGTCATCCATTTTTGATAGATTTAAAAAAGGATTAAGTATAGGTCCTAGCAACATTTCTTCATCTTTTTGCTATTCCAGTTACTATAATCCATCTGATTTCTGTAAGATTAACCTCTGGCCTCAATCTTTTTTTTTATATGACAGTGGAATGCATTATAATTCTTATTACACATATAAAGCACAATTTTTCATATCTCTGATTGTATACAGTATATTCACACCAATTCATGTCTTTATACCTCTACTTTGGAAAATAATGATCATCACATTCCACCATCATTAATAACCCCATGCCCCTCCCTTCCCTTCCAACCCATCTGCTCTATGTAGAGTTCCTCTATTTCTCCCATGCTCCTTCTCCCTATCCCACTATGAATCAGCCTCCTTATGTCAAAGAAAATATTAGGCATTGGTTTTTTTGGGATTGGCTAACTTCACTTAGCATTATCTCTCTAACTGCATCCATTTAACTGCAAATGCTATGATTTTATTCTGTTTTATTGCTGAGTAATATTCCATTGTGTATATATACAACATTTTTTTCTATCCATTTATCTTTTGAAGGGCATCTAGGTTGGTCCCACAGTTTAGCTATTGTGAATTGTGCTGCTATAAACATTGACTCATAGTGGGATAGGGCATGGGAGCATGGGAGGAATAGAGGAACTCTAGATAGGGCAGAGGGGTTGAAGGGGAGGGAGGGGGCATGGTGTTATTAATGATGGTGGAATGTGATGATCATTACTATCTAAAGTACATGCATGAAGACACGAATTGGTGTGAATATACTATGCATACAACCATAGATATTAAAAATTGTGCTCTATATATGTAATAAGAATTGTAATGCATTATGCTGTCATATATATATTAAAATTTTTATATAAAAAAAGAAATTGGATGTAAGAAAACTTTTTGAAATCAGATGGGTTATAGTCATAGATTGGAAAATTTTTGAAAAACTGAATTTCTTTTTTGAGGAAGTAGATATTACTTGCCTATTTTGTTAGTGAGATGAGCTAAGTTTGATACATTCTATAGTTAACCTCTTTTTTAGTCTTAATAATATATATACAAATATTTATACATATATATAAGATGACTGCTAATAATCTTTTATCTTTAACATAAAATTTCCATCTCATTTTTCAAATATTAAAAATAATATTTTGTGTTCATTTTTTTATCCTAACTTCAAAATGACGATGAAAATATTATCATGGGGTGAAGAAACTGGCATAATTTAGAAGGCATTTAAATCCTATGCATACCACTAAGAGCATTTAAATTTCTATTTGTTAGTGAATGTTTAAAACAGATTTACTTCTAGACAAAATATCTTCTCATTAACCTTTGTCTTAATTGTTGCAGCACACTTCTTTTTATGAGAATAAAAACGTACTATAAAAACGCAATTTTCTCCTAGCTAGAATTAAATGAACCTCTCTGATAATGAACATTAGATTGCAAAATCTCAATTCTTTTCTATTTATTGCCAGGAAGACCTATTTTATTATTGTTTTATGCCCTTGAAAGTATCACTTACATTATTGGGCAAATTACATACTCTACTTGGAGTCACATATAATTTGAATGTAAAACGAAGGAGTTGGTGTAAATCAGGGCTATAAGGTCAGATGAACAGAGAAGGTAGAATCAAAACCAAATGAAATAATGTGGGCTGGGTATAAATGAATAGGGAGAATGAAACTAAGGAATGGGACACTGCATAAGTACTATGCAATAATTGAAGCCCAGTGTGATCTTTCCAACTGACAAAGGATATTTAAGTATTTTATATGAATTTTATGAACTATCAAATTTTGGTAATTAATGGACATTTACTTTTTAAAGCATCATGGAACAAAATTTGTTTTATAGGCTGGTAGTTTTTTTTTTAATAAATGTGTCTACTAACATGTTTTCAGTTCTACCATTTTTTTTGACTGATAGAATGTGATTTATCATTCTTTCTTTTCTTTCCAGTGAGTATGATCAAAATCTATTGTTTAATTTCAGAAGAAATAATTATGGCCAAATAAGGAGTTTCTCAGAAGACTTAAAAAACAAATACTTCACTATTAATTCATATCCCTGCAATACATTCATTTATAGCATGTAATGTATCAGTAGCCCTCTTCTAATTTAACTGTTTTTTTTTTAATTTTAATTCATTATATATGACAGCAAAATGCATTACAATTCATATTACACATATAGAACACAATTTTTCATATCTTTGGCTGTACACAAAGTAGAGTCACACCATTCATCTCTGCATATGTGTACTTAAAGTGATGTCCATCTCATTCCACTGTCTTTTCCTGCCCCCATAACCTCTCTTTTCCCCTCCTTCTGGGAGGATTAGACGAATTCTAATTTAACTTTTTAATGCTTGACTCAAAATGAAAAGTTACTGGGTCTCTGAAATTCAAGAATACCAATTTTCAAAACTAAATTTATTGTTGGTAAGACTCACAAAAAGTACACAAAATTAAAGAAGCACTCGAAACAGGGTTCATATGTACTCATTGAATTGGAATAAGATTTAGTTTATGGAATGTTTTGTCTTCTATTTATATAAGATTAAAACACCACAAAAAATAAAATAAAAAAATAACAAATTATAAAAAATAATTTTTAATTGTGAAAAATAAGAGAACTATGCTGCCAAAGATTCAATATATCAAGTAAGTGGTATACCAAAGTAAACTGTATGTCTTTAACAGATATGGACATCCAATACTAGAAAGACCAATGGTTTCAGGCCTTCAGGAAGGACCTTCATTATAAGGTCTTTCATGAGAGATGCTCTAAATTGGGTGTGATGGCCATGTGCCCAGGAATATCTCGAAGAGAAACATTTCTAACTCCCTAATGGCAACTCTGAATTTTATTGGCTATTTTAAACCAAGTTGACAGTTTTTCACAAAAATTCTAAAATCACCTTAATTAATTCTTACAGACAAGCTTAAATAATATTTTTATTATAAAACAAACTATGATAGAAACTAATTTTAAATTTGGTTATCTTGTTCATATTACTATTTGCATTGTATCGGACTCCCTAAATTTCTATGTAAAACAGCCACACATTTTTTTTTAATTAATAGGCATTATTTTTGTTTTTGTTATTGAGAAAAATATTAGATAATGATAGTTTCATAATGCCTAGCATTTAACTATTTATAGATCCTTCCAGAAAACCTTGATAGCTACTGAATTATTTTTTATTTCCTTCTTATTATCATTTATGTTTTAAATGACAATTAAAAGCACAGGTATTTATGTTGTACAGCATTTGAAATATATACATTGTGCAGTGACAAAATTAAATTAGTTAATATAGGGATAATTTCACATATTTACTTCTGGTGAGAATACTTAAAATCTACTCTAAGTAATTTTCAGGCATATAATGCCTTATCATAAACTATAAGTCACCATAT